AAGTATTCTTAGCGAAAAATTTAATTCCCCGGGAAAATAATGTGGGAACATTTAAAATAATTTTTTTAAATCCATATCTGAATTTCGGAGATTTTTCCTCGAAAACGGAGCACGTTGATATTAACGTTATCATTTTCATTGACTTAACTCAGATGCCGAATTTGATATTACAGAGACCATGTAATTTTACTGTGATTTATTGTGGCATGAAAATAACCAATGATCGAGTGTGTAAATTTACGTGGGCATTTTTATCAGTGCAACCGCGTTTTTATCGTAGCCACCGCCTTTGGCTACTCTTCTGACCGACTTTACGATAATGCCGGCGAAATACCGGCCCTAAATAGACACAATGTTTGCCCTCGCAGATAACCACCCCAGGATGGGTCGGCGCGAAGAAAAGAGGCACCCTTTCGAGCTTGCGAAGTACCCCTCAAAGACACCAACCCCTTCCTCCTTGGCCCGGAGACATTTTTATTCACCGCAAAGAACGCCCAGGAACCTGGAAACGGCCGAGTCAACGAACCACTCGCCCACTCGTGGGGATTGCTCTCGTTATGTTACGCCATTCGGTATAAATAAATCCGGGAGAAATCCCGGATCGCCTTCGATACGAAAATTGAGAAACTCAGCGAGGAAAAGGAGGGCGACCTTGGGGGTGGGAGGAAAAAACTTCGAGGACGTCAAGGGTGCTTTTTCGAGTCCAGACGACTCGAGGGGAGGGCTCGGGTCGGACCGATTTTTCGATTAATCGAGGAGGAGATTTTTTCAAAAATTAAGGGAAAGTGAAGCTTAATCATCCATTCTATTCAAACTTTGTAACGTGAATATGGAGGTTGTAAGGAAGGTCTTGACATTCATGGAATTTCAATTTCTTCTAAAAAATAGAACTAATTTTTAAATAATTTAAATTTCATGGGTCTCAAGACCTCCCTTATAGCTTCTGTATTCACGTTGTAGAGTTTGTAACGATTCGGTACACCCTGTTCGGAGAAGCGTTTCGAAAACAAGACTTTTTTGATACCCCTTTCACATCATCTTAAGGACGCTAATCGAAGAGCTTCCTGGACCACCTCGCAGAGATTTATTGGCAAGCGCGGACACGGTGGTGGGTTCGGGAGCTATATTTAGTCGAAGACGCGGCAAAGGACGAGGAAATATATTTCATTGTGTAATCCCCTCGCGAGAGAAGAATCCAAGTCGTCTCGGACGACCGCCCAGCGAGAAATTGTTCGGCGGTAGTCGCGAAATTCCCAAGTCCGGCCTCGGACGGCTCTTTTCGCGCTCCTTGCGACTCTCCTCAAGGCGGATTTAACTCGAAAATTTTCTAAATTTACTGGAGACTACGGAATCGCTCCCCAAAGAAAAAAAAAAGAAACAAAAAGGAAAGATTCGCCGGTCGCTCCCATGATACAAGAATTTTCTCCCTGGGGCGGAAGCATTTTTTGCAGATTTACCCCGTGCACTTTTCCGTCATCTCGGGACACTGGAAATTCATAATCTTCCAGATTTTTAAATTCCGGCAGGGATGAGCAAGAATTCTTTGGAAATTGAATTTTTCGCCCTGGAGAAGGGCAGCAAGGAGCTCGGATGAGTTATCCCGAAAGGTAGTCCAGGATGGGTGTTGTCGCTTTCATTCCGAGTGCTAACAATCGCTTTTGACAGTAGTGGTCCACTCTAGTCGGCTTTGCCGTATAAACGGCCCCGGCTTTCATCGGAGTGACTCAATCCGAAACTTGCCCAGTAAATCTTAGCCCCAACTAGCTTTTAGCGATATTGGTGACAACGCGTCGTAAAACGGGGCCGTTAGTGGCAACGCGGGCCGTTCATTATGGACGATAACCCTAAATTTAAAATTCCACGGCATTCGATAAAATCCTGCCGGGCTCTTCTGCGCGTCTCTGGATGTGAAATAATTCTCCGCCGAGGGGGGAAACATCTCCCCGCTTTCGAGTGGGATTACTTTGACTTAAATGCGCAAGGGAAATACAAGCGGCCCAAGAACTACCTATGAACAAAGACCCGAGAATAACCCTTTCTTATGAGTCATCTCATGATTCATAAGCTCCTCCGTTTCAACTTTGAAGTGCCGCGGCATCGGGATGAATTATACATCTCTTGTTAAGAGGTTGAGGACGCCGGATGGCATCCCTTGCTTCGAAAATTTCAAGTCCTATTTTCCGTCATCCCGTACGAGTAATGCGACTAGTACATGTACTTTTTGTTCAGCCCTTCCATTCGGTGCGACAAATTCCCCGGGTCGAATTATCCTATCCAGACGTCGAAGAGTACTTTCTCTCGTGAAGGCTCTCGTTTATGGCAGGCGACAAGTGACGAAGACATTAGACGCCATTATTTCCTTCCTGCCAGTTGCAGGCCCACCGTGCACTTTCGCATTAGGGTTCACGCTTCACCGACACGTGCATTATGCACGACATGTGCAACCTCCTCGATGTCCGTTTCCGCCATGCTTCCTCGACGGGGAAGTCGGTCTTTTTTAACTCGGTAACTAGTGCCGTGTCGTGAAAGAAATTCAATTACGAGCGTTTCTTCTGGGAGATAATTTTCATTGCAGGATGGGACCGCTTCGTCGCCTTCTTCGTGCAGTACTTCTGCATCGCGTATGCAGCGGAGGGCAAAAACCGTCAGAGTTCGACGGTCGAGTGTGGTCCACGTGGGCACCACGTGTGTCTCTTGGATCGAAAAAATGACGAGGCCTCTCGAGAAAGTGGCGAGAAATTAAGACTCCTCCTGGTTGGGGGTTGACCCTTGGGTGAACCCTTCGGAGAAAAGTCCGAGCCGAGAGGTCTTCGATCCCCAGGTCCATTAGCTCTCCTCCCTTTTCCCTTCTCAAAGAAGATACCAGGAATCCACTCCAGTTGCCAATTTTCTCCGCCCTTAAGGTGATGTGAAAGTGGTGACACAGAGGTCTCGATTATGAAACTTTTCTCTTAACTGGGTATACCAAATCGCTTGAAACTTTACAACGTGAATATGAAGGCTTTAAGGAAGGCTCTGACACGTGAAAATTCAATTTTTGAAATATTTCTTTATAGGTGTTGTTAACATTTTTCATAAGAAATGAAATTTCATGAGTGTTAGGACCTTCCTTACAGCTTCCATATGTACATTGAGAAGTTTGAAACGATTTGGTATATTCAGGTCAGAGTAAAGTTTTATGAACGATCGACCCCTCGAATGCCACTTTCACGTTCCCTTAAGCCAAAACGAAATTTCGCCGTTCAAAAGAAATCCGTAAAAAAAAAAAATAGTTTCTCTTTGCACCGAAATTTTTCGGATTTGCTGGTACCTGAAAATGCTCTTTTTCAGCCCTTTGGCGCTCGGATTGTTGGGAGAGAGAAAATGAATTTCCCGCGAAAAGAGCGACGCTTCTCGATTGATTCCTTTCGGTGAACCTTGAGCAGAAAATTGGATGGAAAACCCTTTCCCTCTCGATAAGTGCCATTCGAGTCTCATTTCCAGGAGGGGTTTTAGCGGCCCAAGTCGCTCAAAAAGTGGCGCCTCGCCCTGGATATCCGGGGCAATAAGTTTTCGTTTACTCGCTTGATTACTGCCCGTGGAATACTCCCCGGGTCGGGGGACACGCGGAAAAGTTTGCATTTTCCGAGCGGCCAGGTGACACGGAAGGCGAGTCCGCGGAAAAGGGAACGAATCGGGAAATTGGAACGTGATGGACACGGAGCGGCAAAATGGCGGCCAAAAAGACCATGCCGAGCAAAACAGCCCGATATCCTTCGCCCCTTGCGGAACAGACCGGTATTGGAAATGGAAACTATTCTCGTCCTCCCTCATTTTACTTTTACGTCCGTGTTATTTTTTCCCGGCACTCGATTCGACGACTGCTCGCGACCCGATCCGTTCGCTCGCTGGAAAAACGATTGAACCCTCCAGAAAAGTGGTAGAAAAAATTATTCATGAAAGATTAACGAGGCGGAGATGCACCCAATTCCCTGTTTTACGGTTTCCGAAGAGAGTATTGTCCACGGGTTCCGCTTAATCGCGCCCTTGTAACACGGTAGCCATGAGCTGTACGATATGACCTATTATGGGACGTGGGGCAACATGGATCCAATCAATAGGGTCCGCTAAATCGATATTAAACCTAAATTAAACCGCGTAATGTCCTGCTAATGCGTCCGCAAAGTGCAGTTAGTTGCTGATTACAAGTCTGGCACGGAATTACATTAAATGGGAGGCTTGAAATTGCACGGGGGTTTCTTTACGATTTTTATGCTAAAGTGGCCCCGGATACCATTTTGGTACCCGACACATACATCGTTACATAGAGTACTCTAACTTTTTAACGTTTCATTTGTGGATTTTATAAATACGTATTATAAATTTATTTTCATCTAACAAGTCAAACCAAGCGAACCGAATTTAGCGAAAAGTTTCATAGAGGAGACCTCTTTGACGCCACTTTCGTATAACCTTAAGGTTTGCTCCCGTTGGGGAAATAGAAATTTTGAATTTAACGTCCTCGGGGACTTTTCCTTTTCCCTCGGCATTCCCTCGGGAATCTTTCGCTGTGCACGTTCGATCGCAGCAGCGAAAAAGAGGAAGCTACCTTGGAAATAGTCATTGGCGGAACGTAGTTTCGACTTCGCTCGCACGAGCTACGCGCAGCCAACTTCGTGCCTCCGCACGAGTAGCTCCTCTCTTTGTCCTTTGGCAAGGAAGTATCGGAAACCGATACTCTATCGTACTTCGGCCTTCTCTGTCCCACCCGCCGTCCTCGCACTTGCGAGGAGGTCCTCGTCCATTTCCCACCGAGATAAGTAAAACGACATGCGACTACCTCGGAACTCCATTTCCGGCCCTCGTCACGCGCACCCCCGATTATGGAAAATTACTTCGAGTCCCTCCATTGTTCCGCTCGATACGGTTTAAGTAGCCTGGAAACACTTGCTAACAATAACCGAACCTTATGACGATAATGTAATATGCGACTTATCTCCTTCCTGTATTTCCGTACTCACCATGTTGTCGGCAGCTACGTGATCCTGAGGCCTGGGGGTCCTGCTACCCTGAAGAAGAGCCTCCAGGCTCTCTATATACTCGATTGCGTTCCGCAGGATCTCGACTTTCGGAAGGCGCTGATTGGGATTGTTGCTCGTCCTTCTCTTCAGCACCTCGAAAGCCTCGTTCACCTAGAATGGCGATATCCTGGAATTCTACATAGAGCTAGGAAGGATCTCATCGCGTCGACATTTTTTTTTTACATCTCGGGGTGATCAGATTTGCTCAAAGGTAATTATTGGACGTCCGTGCACATCTTGCAAATCTTAGTAGTTTGGAGCTTACCGACCTTTGCAGTCGGATAAGCTCGTCCTAATGGCATCGCCAAGTCTGGTAAGTCGACATCTGGGGGACAACTTTGGGACGACTTCGCCCAACTTTGCCAACTTTGATCCCGTCTCGGCGAGTACCGAAATTCCGGGCATTTTCGAATTTCGAAGAGCCATTCCCTCGAGTCCCCTTCGAGTTTGACGCGGGTTCTAGATAAATTTTGATTCCACCCTTCCGCGCTCTTAAATCAGCATTTCCTCGAAAGGGTTTCTTTAGGATATGCACATATTCCATGTATATATGTATCTGCAAGGATGCCATTTTTCAGCGACTCGATAATCCAAGACCGAGTCGCGGGAATTTAAATAATTTCGGTGCAATCCCTAGGGATAGCATGTCGGTGCTCAAGAGCAGGGTTGCTCTAGGACCGGGAAGAGACCGACTTCTCGGTACTCCGGCAAAACGAGCAAATCTCGAACCCGTTCTAATTTCGATACCTCTGAGGTAGGTCAAATGCTGTGCCACCGTAAACCACAAGTAACGTGTAGTCTAGGACTTCGCCAAGTGTGACGCTGGACACGGAATTTCGGCTAGTCAAGTGGTCAGCCCAGCGTTACTGCTCCACATAGACCGGACTCGCAATTCCGAGCCCGTCGTTTTTCATCCCCTACTAATTCCCGACTAACCTTCCCAAGGTTCCCAAATTCCTCCCTTTTCCCTGACCTAGGTCAAGGTACAAAATTGGATGCAATGGACGGAAATTTCCCACACAAGGCTTTTGGTCAGGTGGCTCTAGGAATTTCTTTGAAGACCGGATCTCGGAATTGAAAAAGGGGTGCAACCACCCTGGGTCTCGAAGCAAAGTAGAATACTTTTCCGGCGTTTTGGAGTCGCAAAATTCCGACGCCGTTCATCGGGGGGAACGAAAATCGGGTGAAAAATTGAAAAGCTCCCAGCCAACAGATCGGTCACGCGATTGCCTCTGGCTCGTCCACTCTCATCTGCTCTCATCTGCTCCCGTCTATCCGTGTCGTTTCATCCCTTCGATCGAGCCCAGCAGCGCGCATCCGCTTAGCAGGACACGATCGGCAGCTGCCAAATCCCCGGAGGTCCTGCCCGTCAGCGAAACTCTCCATTTCCCCCAAGCTTCGATTTTTCATGGATTTTCCCGCTACATGATCTCTTTCGAGGATATTTTCACGTGTAATTTATTCACTCAGGAAATCATTGGAAATCACCGATTCTCAGAATTTTAAAATTGAACGTCACTTGTTACCGCATCTCGTAGTCGCTTATCACATGAAATCAAAGGCAATCGGTTCTCGATGAAGGAAATCGTTTTCACGGATTTCCGAGTGAATTGCCTCCCCGGGGAAGGAGATTCTCCTCGTACCTTCCTGAGACGTCTTCTTTCTCTGAGGGTGGCGGCCTTCCTCCGGTCGACCGTGACGGTCTTCTTCTTGCAGGCCTTGCAAGCCCAGAGGAGGCACCGCCTTGGTCCATGGGGCGCCGCGGCGTCCAGGACATGGGGGTGAGGTACGTGCTCCACCTGTTCCACCTGTTCCACCTGCTCGACCGACTCGCTCTCGTTCGTCTCGTCTCCATCCGCGGATGGCGATTCCAGATCCGCGGATGCATCCGCCGAGACCACCGACGACGCATCGTCGGAATCCGGGATGTACCGACGTTGTGGCCTTAAATAAAAAAAATCATAACCGATCGAATTAATACAACATATAATATTCGTCCGAGTCCCACGATTTCGTGGCGAAAAATCTCGGTACATTTTAACGCCAAAAATCAAACTGTGACAAGCGCTATCGCGCTGTTCCGCATTTTTCGACAATGTTTCTTCAATGATCCCTGGACTTCAAACAATTAAGTAAGGTACAGAATTTAAAGCAAATCGTGGCTTGCCAAATGTCTCGTGGAAAATTCTGAGATAATTCCGTCGATGAGAGTCCCGTGCGCGACACTCGGTCGCTCGTTACTTCTCGAGACATCTCGATTCGTCACATGGGGTCTCTCGATTCCACTTCGAAGACACCTAAAAATGTAAAAATCGTCGACCTCCTCCCTTTCCTCCGTCCTATTTGTATTCCCCTTTGTCTCGGCTTGCCCTCTCGCGTTTTCTCGGCCGCAGTCAAAGTGCTCGCAGCGCGACGACATTGTCGATTGTCGGGAATAATTCGGCGGATTTATCGCAGTTGGCTCGCGACAAGGGTTAAACCGCGTCGGTTTATCGTCGTGACGCCGCAATAAGTACGTCAGGCGGCCTATAAATGTAACCCTTGAGCATTACCCGGTAATTAATGAGCCCGGTTCTATCCGTGAAGGCGAACGCGTGCCTGCAAATCATTTCTTACAAGGTGGCGTTCGCGTACTACTCGCTTCCCCATTTTCCTCTTTGTACTTTGGCGCGGTCCAATCGCCCCCAAAATTCAAGTCACCCTTACGAATCGTTCTCGACTTAGAATAAAAAAAATTCTATCGCGACTTTGACACCTATTAAGGTGATTTTAAAGTTATTTTAAGGAATGGAACGAGCCGAAAATAGTCTAGAGAAAATACCGACGATCCTCCCGTTGCGTTTAGGCAAGAGATTCTCCCTTTCCTCCGTTGCTCCCGCCGTGGACCAATTCCTATCCACGTCCTCTTGCAATAAACGTGTCAACTCCGGCGGAAAACTCGGCGCGTCCAGGAGCATTATTGGAAAGGGAGAAATTAGTTTCCCCTCGGGAGCCATTACGGTCATCGGCGCCTTCGAATTCCTACTTTCTCCCTTAACTCGATCTCAAAAAGTATTCCAGGGGCCTTAATCCGAATTTTTGCTAAAACGAAATTGATAAAGGTCCCGGCGTATACCGCGTAATTCGATTAAGCGGGATTTCCTTTTCAATGCACCCCGGCTGGATGCAGCTGAACGGTGCACCGAGTACGTGCATCCTGGTGTTGCCTCTCTCGCAACAAGAATGCCTGGTGCATTCGAGTTGCACAAGAAACTTTGAACGCGGCGTGTTTAGCGAATGTCAATGCATCGCGCGGTGCAGGTCTCGTGAACGGAATTAAATACCTCCCGGGAACAATGTTCGACTTTACGTGCACCTAGGGGTTACATGCACCACCCCCAAGATACCGGATGATTTTTCTCTCCTTTTTATATCCCCACAGCTGCGATCGGCAGGGGCTGCGAGCTTTGGAAAAATCGCCTAGAAATGGGAATCTCGAGCGGAGTGAACGATAAAAAAGATTTACAGGTTTAAGGGGATGTAAAAGTTGTATGCGAAGGCTCAATCGTTCATAAAACTTCGTCGAACCGGGTGTACCGAATCGTTCCAAACCTTCCAACTTGAATATTGCGGCTGTATGGAATGTCCTGACAATCATGAAATTTCAATTTTTATACAATTGTATCAGCACATCTATAAAGAAATTTTCACATTGTCAAGTTGGAATGATTCGGTACATCCTGTTTGGAGAAGAGTTGCATAAAGGAGACCGCTTTGACGCCACTTTTACTCCTTAATTACAGATCGTGGGACCGATATTCGAATTTGGAGGATCTCTTGGAGTCTTTTGGGATCTCTTGACTGGAATAATTATCCAGAGGGATTTCAAGTGCCAACCTTAAACGGTCGTGCTGATAGTGTGCGGAGTTGAGGCTTCCAGAAGAGGTCAGATTGCTGTCGACACTTGCTGTCCTCGTCTGCTCGTCTCGGTCCCTGTCCGACACGTATCTCTGCAAGTAGTCCGTCTCTGCGCCATAGTAGTGCCGATGGTGGTGGTGATGGTGATGGTGATGGTAGCCCTCGTAGGACGACCTGCTCACCGGCTCGTAAGGGTAAGGTCCGACGTCCGTCATCAGGGTCATCATTTCCCGAGGAAATGGGACCAGGGTTCGCGAATCACTTTCACAGGTCCCTTCACTCCGCAAATCTCGCTCTTCTATCTCTTGACATCGATGCTTGTCCTGCCACGAGAGAAGATCCTGGGCACTATCATATAGATTCACTGCCTAGCTGGTGATAAGAGATGACTGCGACATCGCCACGTCCATATCAAGATCCCAGGCCTACCAATAACCGGAGAAATTCGGAACCGTCACATCGCGTTCGACGATCCCGACCCGATGATCAGGGAAAGCGACGTCATCTTCAAACAAAACCCACAAATTCCACCAAACGGATCTTGAGATCTTCCCGATACCTTCTTATCTTAATTAGCAATTATTCAATGTGCTCCACTCTCCGATAAGTCTCGAGGACGTCGATGATAACTCCCATGGGTCATGACTCGGATCCTTTACGTGAACCACCTTCACTTCTGCTCCGAAAAACGTTCCCTCATTCTCCACACGATCTAGAACCCACTTACAAGGTTTTACTTTCTATGTTTTCTCTTTACCGACCAAGATTTGATAATAAATATTCGGAGGAACCACGAGATGGAAAAAAAAGAATCCAATCCGACCAAGCGACCGGCGCTAGCGATCGGGGAAATTCTCCCGCGAGAAATTCGGCGCGGCGGCGAATCGGAGCGTCGCGGCGCGTCGTCCGAAATCCCTCAAGTCGGAGATCGGAGTGAAGAGACCTAGCCAGGCATCTTCTAGCAATATCTCCGGCAACCACGTGGTTTTCCTCGTCAGGCGTGTGTGGTCACCCTCTTACATCTGTGTGTAAAGACGCGAGAGTGTCACCGCGTCGCGTGTCGTGTGTCACACGGGGTGTTCGGGTGTGCGACGCTTTCGGTGGGTAAGTGTGCGGCACTTTCGGCGGATGCGTGTGCGACACTTAGTTCGGGCACCACCCCAGATGACTATTTTTAAGTGGCTCGACCAATTGCGAGCCAGCTAAACCGTTTCGGACCTGCCGACGTACCGCCTCCGACCTGACGAGGATCCACGGCTCTGCCAGATTTTCGGCTCTGGGTGTGGTTTGCTCATTAATTAGTCCACCCAGCCTCCGTCTCTCCGAAACGCGGAAAACCGAACGATCGGGGGAAATGCCTCGAAATAACGGGAGGATTCACGCTTTACTTACAATCGCGAGCTGACTTACCAGGAAAAAAAAAGACGAAAGTAATTCAAACTCTACAATGTTGAAATTTTCGACGCGAGGAGTTACGCTTTCTGAGGTGTTCCTCATTTTTCGATATTCCAGAATTCTTGATATTTCGCTCAATGAGGCTGATAAACACGGCGTTAAGGGTGGATTGGGGTGGCGGCTGGACACGGTACAGCGCAAATCGAAGAAATGAGGGAAAAACCGCGGGGAAAACGAGGGACCCGGGAAACCGAAAATCCTGAGGGATTTTAAGCGCTCAATTTCCCGCGGATGAGTTTTGCAAAGTAAAACGCGTTATGGCCGTCATTTGATCGGGGGGTATCGCGTAAAATCCTGCAAAAGCAGAAACAAACCCTCTATTTCCGCAGGTTTGTCCGCGTGTCGATCGCGTCGACGATTTTATCGGGCCATTCTCTCGCGATGTCTACTTGTCGATGTTTACAGTCGCAGAAATCAATCTCGGAATTGCTCGTTATGGCTGCCGTAACGCGATATCATTAGTAATTGGGCATCACCATCTCGTAACCTTGGCACGAAGTTCGATCGATTTTACATGCACAAGGTGCCTCGATTACACGAGTTCGTAATTTTTCCCGGACCGGAAACCACGGACAGCTTGCTGGAAAAATCGTTGGAAACCAGCCCCTGCTTTATTTAAAATGCAAATAAATAATAAATGGGTAAATAAATTTCTGGGGGTAACTGGCCCGGTGGAAAGCCAAGAGGCGAGGCTTTCTTCTGCCCGGCATTCGGGGAATCGGAATGGACCATTGGGCGTGGAATAAACGCTAAAATTACACTGGCAATAATCCAGAGGAGTCGTAAGTTAGTAGTCTTAGAACAACCCACCAAGAGGCTAGAGGACGTTCTCCATCAAACGCCAATTGGTACCGGTCGACTGGTACCGCTTCCCCTCCAATTTCTCATCCATCGAATCCCGTCTAAGGAATTCCTTCGATTAGCAATTACTAAGTATCGACACCAATCACTCAGGAAATCAGCTGGAAATTGTCGCGAAATCACCAGAATACTGTCACAATTTTATGGCGAACTTGGTACCGAACCGCATCGTTCTTTATCATATGAAATCAAAGATAATTGGCTCTCAGAAAAGGAAATCGGGTTCGCTGATTTCCGAGGGAATAGCCCCTTGATAGACCTGTCGCAGGTATTTCCTCCGAATTAAAAATCAGGGGGTGGTAGCAGGTGGAGGGTCTCTGGAGAACGGGTGCTCGTCCAGTTTGGGCGAGAGTAATAAATTCCCCTTATGACTTGGTTATTATTCCCTAGGCGTGGTGGCACGTCTCCGTTGGGACGAATTTCGCGGTCTCCGGGGCTGCAAGTACTGTGCGATATGCGGTTGGTAATCCATATTGCAAGGCTCGACATAGCCGTGGAGAATAAGCGAACTCGAGAGTCGATTAGTGTGCCCGGCAAGGTTCTCCAAGCTGGGACTTGCCAGGGATGGTGCATTCGTGGTTTCTCGAGGGAACTCGGCCGGTTGTGCATCTTCCGGGGGAAAACATTCGCCGACACTTTATCTCCCCCTTTTTTCCACGCCCTCTTTATGGCTGGAAATGGGAAGCGGGAAAAATTCCATCCGGAAAACCGCGCGGAACGCGAACCCCGTTCTGACGGCTGCGGATGGAATGTTTTCGCCGGCTGACATTTTCCTCGGGGAGAAATGCAGTTTCTTCGGTCTCGCCTTAGATACACCCCCGGAATCTAGGAAAATGTTTTAAATCCCGGCGATTCGACCGTGAGATCTCCCCATTCACCTTGCACCCTCGAAAAGAATGTTAGAAAATGAAGAGAAATATTTAGCATGATCATCCAGGATATTTCTTTTTACGGACGGTAATGAGCAATTAAGGGGATGTGAAAGTGGCGTCTGAGAGGCCTCGTTTATGAACATTTTCTGCGAACTGTGTGTACCGAATCGTGAAAAATTTTACAATTTAAATATGGAGGCTGGGGGGAAGGGCTTGACATCCAGGGAATTTAATTTTTTTATGCAAAATTTCAGAGATATCTATAAAGAAATTTTTCAGTGGGTTTCGAGATCTTCATAATCTTCATATTCGTCCTTGTTTCGGGAATTTCTATTCCAGGATTTTCCCCGGAAAATTGGATTTTAACGAGACCGCCCTATGTACGTGCGCCACGAAAGCCGCGTCTTAGGACCAGGAAGTGCATTAGAATTGCACGGGGGGATTCAGTGACGTCGGAATAATTCATAAATCGGGGTCAGGTCCGGGAATCCTGAATTCGCATCGATCTATGGATACGAGGGTTGTCTCGGCGACCATAACTGTCGGGGAATGGCAGCCCTCAAATTCGAGGATTGAATGTGACAATGCGACTCCAAGTCTGTATAAATCATGCATCGACACTTCCGGAGGCACCTTCGACTCCTGGTATAAATCAGGAGTTTCGTGATTTGCATCTTCGAGGGGTTAAATTCACGTCGGGCATTCCTCCTACTTAGGGGAAGACTTGGAAAAAATGGACAAGTCCGTAAAATGTACGGACTTTATCCGCTGAAATAAGGACATAATTACCTGGATTGATCTGTTAACGGGGCAGTTTTCAATCGTATCGTGAAGAATTTTCAAAAAATAGGCTTCTGCAACTTTAAGGCTCTTATTTTCCTCCGCGTAGGTGCACGTCGGATAAGCCTTGAATTCCCATTGATTTATGTCAAGGCATTCCAAATGCGGCTCGCCCGAGTAAAACTGCGATCGAACACCTAGTTTCCCATCTGGGTGAGGACGGAGTCGGACGAGAGGTTTTTTCCGCGTTTACTTCCACGTTTAAACTTTTAGCGATGGAGCTGGAGAGCGCCGCGCAATTCCGACCTTCGACCAATTACGAAAAAGCGCTCCCATCGATTTCCCCCGTTATTAGATTGAATTTTATTTCTATTATTTTCCATTTTCACCGAGCATATTGTTAACGTTATTTTTCTTTTTCTCTACCTTGCGCCGGTTACCATATCGTTGTTTTTCCGTTCGCGGCGGATCGATCGCTCGCAGTCCTTCCGCATAATCCGTCGCACTGCACGATCAGCTGTTCGGAGAGAGATCGAGGGGTTCGCGTATATCTCCCCGGGCGGCTTCACAGAGGGAATAATTCATAAATCGAGGTCAAGTCTCGGAATCCTGAATGCCCATCGACCTAGTCCGGAAGGAAAGCTTCCAGTTGGACAACTTTGCGACTAACGGTTCTCGAAACCTCGAAAGCTCGAAAGCTCAGTTCGCGAGGCAAACCACCCTGACGAGGATACGATAAGGAAACGCTCGAGACTCATCTTCCTCGTCTTCATCCTTCGTCGATTTTTTCCTCCCGTGACCGCGAACGATCGCCACCCTGGGCTCAAAACCATCTCATGGTGCACCACGCTCAAAACCACCCCATGACGTACCACGTTCAGAACCACCCTATGATGGATTATGAACGCCGCGAGTCAACCGATTCGACGGCGTAAATCCCGAAGTCCTATAATTCTAGATATTAATAATGACTAGATGAAGTAACGGGGAGGAAAGAGAAAGAAACGTGCGCAACACTCGGGGGTGTGGATTTAAGGTCTTATGAAAGCGTCGTGTATATATGAAAAAATCGAAATATTTATAAAACCTCTCCAAACTGGGTCTTTGACGAGAAATGTTTGATAAATGAAATTTCGTGAGCTTTAAGGCCTTCCTTAGAACCTCCGTAATGGCGTGTTAAATTTCCAAATTATTCGATGCATCCAGTTTGATGGAAAGTAGTATAAGGAGTTTGACGTTTTGAAAAGTTGTATAAATATTTTGGCCTTTCGTATCACCTTAATTGGTGAATTTTTGTCGGAGAGATACGCTCGGCGTTCCTCGAGCCAGGGGGTTGCGTGCACCCCCGGCCGCCTCGGCAGTCCTCGGGCAGCTTCGGCCGAGGTCGGGTCGCCGAGAGAGAGGAGTCGCCCGGGGGTGGTCGATTCACCTGGGAGGGAGGAGGACGGAAAACGGGTCACTCACTCCTGCCTTCAGGATTCGGCTGGCTGGGGATGTACCTACATCTGCCAAAGCTGAAAGTTCCTGCAAGGCCAGTGCCTCGCCCACTTTTATGGGGCCTCGTGGCGGTCGAAATGGAGCGCGCTTCGATTTTTCCGAAAAGGACTCTTCGCACCCCTTGTTCCTCCCCGATGACTACTCGTGACCTGCCCTCCCGGTTTTATCTCGAAAACCCCGCCACTCGGGTAATCCTTCCTTCGTCGTAACATTTCCTTTGCAGGGAAGCGCCACTTTTTACCAGGCCACATTTTATGCAGCCTGCGAGTGTTCCCCTGCACGTTTCGCGTCCCCTGAAACCGCGCAATTCGCATAGCTCTCAGGAGCTTTCACCCTTCCTTTCCGGGAGAATACGGGAAGACTTCTCCGTATACAAACGCGGGGACCACTTTAAGGGACTTGTAGTGCCTTATAGGACATTGATTCCGAGCGTTTTTTTTTCAATCGATCGA